TGAAGTGGGATGAAGAGAGGGGAGATGTTGAGAAGGAACAGAGAATGGGGCTGGAATCAGGATTTAGGATCAAAAAGTGACGAGGGATGGCTAGGAAGGTACAAGCCTCCTCCTCGGGATCCTTGAAATTATTAAGGAGGGCCTCCCACAGTTATGGGAGAGATGGTGCAGAGTTTGTATTTGAATGTTAAATGAGAGAGAGCACAATTTTGGACCATTCAGACATCAGAGATAATACCTACTTAACAGGGTTGGGAGGTTTAAATGAAAAGGTAGGTGAAAGCACTTCACAAACTAAGGAAATGTATTATTGTCCCTAAAAAAAAAAATCTTTCTGTGAAGTTTTTTTTTTTTTTTTAAGTCAGATTTGAATTCAGTAAATGAAAAGGTAGGTGAAAGCACTTCACAAACTAAGGAAATGTATTATTGTCCCTAAAAACAAAATCTTTCTGTGAAGTTTTTTTTTTTTTTAAGTCAGATTTGAATTCAGCACTGATCACAAATATAATTATCTGGAAGTCATGAGTTGTATAAGTTTCTTTATGAATTATTCAGTTTAAACAGATAGTTGAAACATACTTTGGATGTTAGATATAAAATTTTTTAAAATGACTGGATGTGACCTAAACATGTTATGGTAAGATATGCAGATTTAGGATCCCACGGTAATAACATCAGACCCATTTAGTAGGAACAGAAAGAATATTTTGGTCATGCAATAGTTAGCTGAGATTGTGGATAGATATGAGAAGGAAATGATTATGTTCCGAAGGAATGGGAAATGCACGTATTGGGTATATACCAGACACGTGGCATATACACACATTGTGTTTCCCAGTGCATATTACCACCCAAAGGAATGAGTGGTAGTGTCTCCACTCTTTAAAAGGGGGAAATTGAGAATGTAAATGATTAAATAACTTGCTCAGAGTCATAACATTTGAGTGGTAGAGCTGATGTTGATTCTTACCAGCTTCAAGGTCCATGCTGTCTTCATTCCACCATGTGCCGTGTGGGCTCTGACACATATACTAACACTTAGCACCTAAGCCTTGTATGGTTCAGGTTTCTTTGCCCCACTTTCATACCAAATCTTGTTTTTCTTCTGACAAGACTTTATGAAATGCTACAGGTGTGAAGTAGTATGTGAAAAAAAGGATTAAATGACTTGCTTAAGATCAGGAGTGAGCAGGTTAAATTCCAGGATTGTCTAAAGTTCCATTTACATGGGACTGAGCATCTTTTGTTACAAAATGTTAATTACAAAAATGCCGGCAAACTTTTTCCACTGGTGGTTCTTGCATACAGTATGCACATCTTATGTTGTGGGACTCTTTTCGTTGTTGTTCAGAATTCACCTTAGGGGTTTTCTCAAACGCCGCATTCTTATTCTACAGTGGTTTTTAGCTTTCTTTTTTCTTCCCAGGCTGGGTGGATGATGCAGTCTCACTTCTAGGTGTTAGGATTCTCTTTCTCACTGGTTTGTCATGACCTTAAAATATTTTAAGTTTCTCCTTTGGTAATTTTTTTTTAATGTCGTACCCCAGTAAGCTAGAGATTTATTTTACCAAATAAATTTGAAATACCAGTAGCAGTCCGTGAGCATTGTCTGAGTTGACCAAATGTAAAAACCCACCAGTGGTCTACCTTTTCATTTTCTTCATTGTGGTAGGTTTTAGGGTCCAGACTTGAAGGCTAGTTACATTTCTGAATTGGCCTTTAGGTTACAAGACTTGCTAAAGGTGGCATATGATACCAAAGATGGAAAAATGTTTATGAAGATCGTAATTGCCTTAATTATAATTGCCATCCTAGCTCTCTCCAGTCGGATAATTGGTGAGGCCCAATAGTCATTTTGAGCTGCAACCACCCACAAAAACCACACACATGGCGTTTTACTCAAAACTTTACTCTAACCACTGCTTTGTGATGCAAAACTAGCGGAATTTTGGGTACTTTCTGTAAAATCAAAATCTTTATGGGGGTTTTCCAACATCCTAGTTGATTGTTAACAAATGATCAGTACAATGAACAAGAGCAAAGCAGAGTTTGCTAATAAACATTGAGTTCTGTGCTAGGATAGGTTACCAGTATATAGAGCACCTGAATGTTTTCACTTGGAGGAAGCCACCTTGATTGGGTTCACCCTTCGAAAAATGCAGTTAAATAAGAGGTATTTATATGAGATTTGTAGTTGTAAAAGATAGAGATTTTAGGTAAGACTTGCTTCTTATCTTTGCCACAAAGTTTTCGGTCTTGACAAAATATTCACATTCAGTACTTTCTAATTTGTAGATCCTCTTATGAGAGAGATTTTAAAAGAGAAACAAATCAATTTGTATTGTACTTTCTGTAAAGAGAGAACTGTTTTGGGAACCTGATTACCAATAAGATACTCCAGCCCTCCTCTGGAAGGGAGATTGCAAGTGGAAAGAGCTGTCTCTGTATTTGGCTAAGTCAGGAGATCTTTGTTTATTCTGCAGCTCTCCTTGGGCAAGTTACTTTACTTCTGTAGGATTCAATTTCTTATCCTTAAAGTAAGTTTCACTCCTGCTGTATGGTTTGGTAGACACTGCATATTGTCTCAAGAGGCTTCAATAGGAGCCCTTTGTTATTATATCCTGTCTTATATATAATTTAAGTTTTCTAACAAGCACATATATATTTTTTAATCTATGCAAACATTATTTTAGCCAAAAAAAACCACCTCTCCTTCTCAAAGTATATAGTTATGCTCCTAATATTTTTGAAGGAGTAAATTTCCCTCTATGCAGCTCAGAAGTCAGACTGATGGTTTCATGATTAGCCTTAAAATACCTACCTAGAAACTTTCAGGCTGTTTCCCATTAATGCTTAATCCAAACCATCTATCGTAGGATGACACAGAAATTTAGAATTGAGCTTTTAATGGGTTAATTCCTTAGTTTACTGTAAAGATCTTGATAATTCCCCACGAGCACATAAGTAAAGCTTTGTTTGGTTTCCTACTACAAAGACTGAGTTGCTGATTAGCTTTCACAAATAAAATATGCTTGCTTTATTTTTATAAATGAGGTAATACTCATCTAAACAGTGAAAGAGCAGGTTTTACAGGAGCAAAATCAAGCAATCCATTTGCAGAAAGTACAACCAAATAAAAAACTGACTGGCACATAAGTAAAGCTTTGTTTGGTTTCCTACTACAAAGACTGAGTTGCTGATTAGCTTTCAGAAATAAAATATGCTTGCTTTATTTTTATAAATGAGGTAATACTCATCTAAACAGTGAAAGAGCAGGTTTTACAGGAGCGAAATCAAGCAATCCATTTGCAGAAAGTACAACCAAATAAAAAACTGACTGAATGAAGAATAATGAATAAGGAATATAAACTTGGAAGCAAACCATGTAAACTGAATCAAAATTTTAAAGAATGAAATAGGATTTGTATTTTATATGTGTGTGGAGGGGTGGGAACAGAAATAGATAAAGTTGTTAGAAAAATTGTACATGACGGAATATCATTTAGAGCCTTAGGACCACAGCAAACAAACAGTGGAAGCTTTATTTGTACAGAGAAACAAAGGTTTATCACTACACAATTTTAGGGACAGAAGTAGAAAGGGCATAAATGTACAGAAGTGGAGTGGAATTCCCCAGACCCTAATGATTTAACAAATGGTTTAGTTAAGAAAATCTGCAAAAGCTTGAAACTTGAATTAGTGCTATAACTTTTAAAATGAAATTTTAAAAAAACACAAAAGCTTTCTTGTGTGTTAGCACTATTCTACCGTACTTGATAGCCTGATAGCATTAATTCTTCATCTGGTAGGTCACTCTGAAAGTGACTTGGACCTTGATCCTTGAAATAGAGATGTTGAAAAAGTGATGTGTGTAGAAAGCAGGAAGAATCACAATTACACATCAAAGGCCACGGGTGTTTTAGCTTCAAATCATATGTTTCAATTGTACTAGCTTTAACGTTCACACCCAAACTTCAAGGGTAGGATTTATGGCATGTAGGGCGGAGTGGCATTCCAATTTCATTTATTTTCTGCTGACACCGGCAAATTGAGTGAAGATTTATATCTTAAGTGACAGGATTCAAATGAAACATGACACACTTGTAAAAGCTGCAACCTGAACATGTCAATGCAGAACTTTCCAATGAACTGGATGGGACTTGGGAGACAAACCACACACACGGCCACACTGTGTTTGGCAGCATGAGAGATCAAAGACAAAACCCAAGGGAAGAGCAAGCCCTTGCTGGCTAAAGTGTGTGTGGTGGGGATAGCACAGATTGCCATTTCGGTTACAGATAAAAGTATGGTATCTATCTCAGGCTTGCTTTCCCATAGAACAATTTTGTGGAGATATGCTGCACTGACTGGAAAAATTAATTTGTTTTTTTAAGTTATCAAATTTACAAAGTAGAAGCATCGGTTATGAAACTAGTCATTTAACTGGGATTTAATCCTGACCCAGTTCCCAGTGTTGGGTGGTAATCATTCTTATTTACCAAAGCATAGAGAAAATGGGTGTCAAACGGAGCAAGCAGGGTGAGCACTGCTTTGAGGAGGGAAGACATTTTACTACATTTGGATGGTGTAGACTGTCTGCTGAAGGATCCTGACCACGGGGTAGGAACTAAAACAAACTTCAACTGGTAGTGATACTTCCACACTGCAGATAGCTAGTTAAAACTCCCCCAGGGAAAGCATAGAACGAGACTGAGCAGCACACTCTCGACTTTATCACGGCATGCCAGGGTACCCATGACAGCCAGGCTGGCAGTCAGCAATCTAGAAGAATGCATGGGTACTGAACTAAATACTCCCCAGTATTTGTTCTAGCGGTTCTCCTCAGAGTTATCGTAACAACAGATTGTTTTTTACAATCAGGTAAGCATTTTCTGAATTAATCTGAATTAATCTGGTTGTACTTTAAATTGGTCCTGAAAAAGTATATAATTAGAATAGCTGTTAAGGTCACAAAGAAATGCCAAATGAAAGCCAGTGAGTCACTATCCATTATTCTGCATCGTTTATTAAATATTTTTACGTATGCATTTACAAACTTTACTCAGTTCAGAACTCTGCTTTCAATACATTTTAAAACTTTTTTGCAGAGATTCTCTTGTAAAATGAGATCCATGTACAAAACTAGGCAACAGATACAAAAGTTTCCTTTCATACTTTTCATCCATCAAGAAAAGAAATCATGTGACAAAGAAATAAAACCAAAACGTGGTTCTTTCAGAAGAATAACATGTCAGTGTTCAACTATGAATTCTAATGGGATAGTTCATATTTCATGTCTATAGGGATGTGTACAGTTGTAATACTTCTTAGTACTGTAAATGTTGGTTCAGATGAAGAAAAAAACTCTGTTTGGACAAGATAATCAAGAAACCACCAATTCATTTCTTTATAACGTGACATCAGAATTCACCAAGGAGATGACACTGATGGGCCAGCGATATGCATATATCCCAAACATTGCATGAAAAGTTCCCTTTAAAAAATTCATTAACTTCTTCACAAGCTTAAGTATGAGCCTCTAGGTTGGCTCTCCTATTTAAAGAAATAGTTTAAATGATCAATTTAGAAGCTTAAAAGTATCTTTGAAACTAAAGTTGCTTTTCTTAAAATGAATGCTGATTTAACAGATCATAGACTTGGAGCATTATGACTATGAGACAGAGGCGCTAATGCCACTAGCAACAAGAAACAGCATCACTAGGATAATTACGTAGTACAAAATGCCCAGGGGCCTGAAACTCACTATTAATATAATTTTGGCAGCAGCATCATTGGATGTTTAACCATTTATTACATAGTATTAACACACCAGCTTCAAAGATGTGCACTCCCTTTAGGACACCAGGGAGTTACAAATTTATTGTGATTGCATAATTCATATTGCACAGTTTTATAAAAAACATAAATACTGGCTATTCTAATTTTAAATACAAAATACATGGCATATACTTTTAAATCTATAATCTGGTTCAAGTGCAAATCAGGTGCTTTCTTTAGTCCTTCCAAAAAAGGCATTTTTAATATTTTTGGCACAAATGAAATGTCATCATGCCAACAATTCAAATTACGCTACATATACCGAAACCTCTAGAGTAGCAATCATATACATACGGTATAAAACTGAGTATTTACAAATGTACTGAGCATAAATGTAACCTTAGTGGGTGAGTCAGAACTAATCAGCCATACCCACACTGATAATAATTAGAAAAGGTAAATACAACTCCTTTATTTCATTTGCCTATGCCGGTTGCTGTGGGTTGACATTCATGTGAGGAGGATGTCCTAGAAGACCAATTCTTTGTTTCTGCTTCCTTTGTTCTGTCATCTGGAAAGTTAAAAAGTTTCATCATTAGACCCAGACACTTCCTGTACGTCAAATCATATACTGAACCATAGATTTACCTCTGTGGTTATGGTTTATATGAAACCCACTTTCTACAAATAGTGTACCGTCACTATATCAAACACACAGAACTTAAAAAAAAAAAAAGGCATCCTAGGCAGAATGGGGAATTCTGTGACCCAGTCATGCAATGTAACATTCAGAAGTATTGCTTGTGCCTTCTTTCATAAAGAAAAAACAGTAAGAAACAAAAAACAGTAAGAGCACAGGATTCTTGACTGCTTCCCAAATCTACTTCCAAATGATTTAAACGCTCATTGAAAAATGGTGGCTTTGTATGACAGTAACAACACGTCATACTATCGAGAAAAGCAGTGTGTTTACAATCCTAGGTTTGACAGGGATTATGTCCACACTCTTCAGTGGGTCCTGATTCCTTTCTCCCATGACTCTTGAGTAGCTGGTTAAAGAGAAAAAAACTACCCAGCACACTAGGAAGATGAGAAATGTTCTCATCTCTCCCTGAGATCCAGAATGACAAAATACTACAAATGATGCTCTGGCCATCAGTGGTGTCTATTCCTTGCCACCAACAGACACTGAAGATTGCCTCAAGTCAGGAGAGACCATTTCCTAAGACTGGTTCAAATGATAAAATGCTTTCAAAACTCCAAACAAGTGGATGGTTCTACTTATTTGGCTGCTGAACTAAATGTGATGTTCTCATGGTGATGCGTCTCTAGCTCTGTTCTGGGTATTTCAGGGCCTACTTAATTCTCTGCATTGAGATTTTTCTTAACCTAGTCTTAACTCTGGCTCTGAGGCTGGGCATTTAAGTCAATTAAGATAAAAAAAGGCTACGTGACATATATATGAGACAAAATTGTTGTCTACAGGGGCTTAAGGTCCTATCCTAGACTTTTTGGTGCCCTAAAATCGGAGAGGAATTAGAGTGGAGTGGTTAAAAAAAAAAAAAAAGAATAGGCTTTGGAATCAGATCTATTTTCTTATGGTTTTGTCATTTAACTTCTCAAAGTCTGTTTCTTCATCCATGCAATCAGGATGATAATTCCTATCTCACAGGTGGAGGACTGAGAGGATGTCTGTAAAGTGTCTGTCACACAGGAGATGCTTAAATCTCAATTTTCACTTTTTATTGTAAAGGAACATAAAACAAGAATAACTTAGCAAGGTTCAATTTTAATGTGGTTATTTTTTCTTTTTCAACATATAGTAGTTATCCTTTCAAATCAAAATACTATTTTTAGGCACCTATGGAAATAACTTTCTCTGTTATAATTTAGATAAAAAAATTTACAAGGATTAAATATTTCTAAAAGGCAGCTTTCAATAAGCTTTTTTAAAGAAATGAATTAGGACATCCCAGTTAGTCTCTAAAGTTTCCTTAGGTGAATGACAAATCTTTAAAGGAAGCAGTACATGCTATACTATGTTCACAGATTCAGCTAAGATGACACATGGAATAAATTCACAATTAAGTTAAAATGCCAGGAATTCATTTGTCTTACTGCCCAGCTCCCGTCCCCCCACAACTAGTCCCTTGGCAGGTAACCTTGAAAGGGAATCCAATAAAACTCAACTAAAATTTTATAGTCTCAAGTAGTCAAATAGATTTAGAAATCTTGGCGTGCTCACCCTTATTAAAGGATTCTTTACTCAAAGCTTCCATTTAAAGCTGCTAAAATCTTTCAACTCGAAGTTGAATGTCAAAGTTGGCCATTAAAACTTTTTCTGTAATTTTGCTTTAAATAACTACTTGTATTTGAGATGATCTTTTATGGATGCACATCTTCATCCTTGTTAAGTCAGCTTTCCTTGACTTTGCAGTTTGTCAGTTATTCTTTCTCTTAAACTTAAAGCCTCTAAAACGTTATTCCCCATAGCAATTGAGTCTTCAGTTGAGGGCAGATCTTCCCTCTCATTTCCAGGGCCATCGCCCGACACCTCATTAGTGGTCCTATTCTGAGTTGCTGGGTTTGTCTTCTAAGATAGTGATTGCATCACCCCCCTCCCTCATAAACCTTAAGGCTCCCCACTGATGTAGATTAGTGGCCAATGCTTTGCTCAGGCAGTCCTATTGCTGATAATTTCAAGTACCAAATACATGTCTATCTAATTTTGTTTTCTGTTTCCCAATAAAAATGGTTCTTAAACTTTAGCATGCATCAGAACCACCCAGGTTTGGTAAAACATAGAACAAAGGGCCCACAAACAGAGTTCCTGATTCAGTAGGTCAGGGGCAGGGCCCATGAACACACTGGGTATAGAGTACAAATGAGCAAATTTTAGTCTGTCAGAAGGGCCTCTAAATGGTTAAAGGCTGGCATAGGAAGGAGGGTTCATCAACAGCACACAAATGCCACAATTCGGTTTATAACAGGTCTCAGTAGTCTTTGAAAAGCTGCTTTCATATCACAGTAAAGTCTTGGTTTTGCAGATTATAAACAGCCAGGAGGCTCTAGTAATCAAAATTACTTTTTATAGGTCTATAAACTCAGTCATGCTCTGAATGATGAAGCTAAAATACAGAGAAATAAAACCAAAGCATCTCTTGAATACAATTATATAGAATTAACATAAATGTATAGATACTGTTCAGATTCTTAGAGCTGATCCCTAATACTCTGTTCCTCTCTATTTTACCTGGCAAACTCTTTCTCAAGCTTTCAAACCAAGCTCTTGCATTACCACCCCTGAGAACGTTTCTGTGGTAATTACTCTAATCTCCCTAAAATCAGATTGAATGAATCGCTCCCTTTTCTTCATTCCTGGAGCAATCTGTTCACACCTCTACCGCACACTTACCAAGTTTAATTATAATTTATCTCTTTACATATTTGTCTCCCACTCTAGACTGTTAGCTCTTAAAGTCCGAGAATAGGTTCTATCCATCTTTGTATCCCCAGTACCTAGTGCTGCACCTGGCAGGTAGGTGTTTCATGAATGCTGGCTGAGAGAAGGAACTGATTTAACCAGAACATGCTGCCGTGCCTTGAGCATGCCATGCATTTACATGCCTTTCCTCATGCTGATTCCTTTCGTGGGAAGCCAACTACTGCATTTCTTTGCCAGCTCGGAAGTCACCTGCTTGTTAAGATTGTAAATGTAAACTCCTTCTTCACTCCAGACCTCACACAGCACTACCTACCTACTTGTCTGTGCTCCATGAAACTTCATTCATGCCTTGGTCATAGCACTTTTCATGTCATGTCATATTGTTAGAAGTCTACCGCTTTGTCTTTCATGCTAGATCATGGGATCCTAGAGGGCAGATGTTGCCTTAGTCCTCCTCTGTGGTCCCGGCACAGTGTAAGGAACACCTTCAGTAAGGGTTATTTAATATTCCATTTTCCAACTTTGGGCACTCATTCTAATCTTTCGTTATTCCTTCCTTCCATAAGCAGTTAGTGTTAATAAGATAACCCTCTTGCATGAAGACTGCCAAACTCTGTAACATGCTAATATGATCTGAATTTCCAAGTACTTCTTGCCTTCCTAGCAACAACGAATAAGAGCTGTTGCCCTACAGGAAGCCAGTCAGTTACATTTTCAAGAAAGTTAACCCCTCTCCCAGTATTTGTTCTTTTGCATTATGAAGAAAACGTGCAAAAAAAAAAAAGTTCTTACATTCGTTCTCCTCCCTGGAATAAGAATGTAATAGAATCACGTTTAGTAATCAGAATCTCTTGGGAGGAGAAACTTCAAAATGAGATGCATTGTTAAGGAATACTTAAAACAGCAATTCTAAGGAACCACTCTTGGCAATAGTAGGAAAAGTGACAGTACGGACCACGTTTTTACTAATATCCTAACAAGAACGTTTTCCCCAAAAACTGGTAGTTTAAGAAAACAACCACCAAAGAGGTCAATAACAGTAAAGATTAAAACCAAAGTCATCCACATTTAAACTATCATTGCTCCATTATGCTGGTTTTTGGATCAGAAGATCTAAAAAATATCTAAGTGATGATGCAATTTTTGTGTTTTCCAGCACTTTTACCAGTGAATGGCATTCTTTCATAGCTGTTTAAAATATCTATCACAGAGTTTCTTGTTCTTTAATCATTCATGGCGCTTTTATTTTTTAATACAAAATTTTTTTCCCCTTCAGAGGGCAGGAATTCTCACAATTACCATTTAAGAACCAGCAGCTCTCTAACATATCTATGTGATATTTTATGCAGGATGCTTTAAGAAATCTTTAGGACTGCTGTAACACCAAGCTTAAAAAAATTCAAATCTATTCAACAAGTTGATTGCAAACAAATGCATTAGAGATTTGTTAGAAGTTACATAATCAAAGAAAACGCTGACTAGTTTCCTTTTGAAGGAAGCTAACTTTTCCCCACAAAAAGCAGCCATGCAGAATTTTTCCTGTAATTCTGGGCACTTTAAAATTTAAGCAGATCAATCCTGGTGAAAGCACTTGAGAGTGCACTACTGGTTTCTCATGATTCTCTTTAGCCTGTGAGATCTTCCAAGACAAAATGGTTCCATTTCAAATTAGTTTACAGAGGAAGGGCTTTCTGAAGAGTGGTGTTCCAGCTGCCAACTTTAAAACTAAAAATGTGAAAAGGGCTGCAATCAAGGAGTTTAAACCATATTGGTCCTAATGTCACTTAATCTTAGTCCACAGATAATCAAACTTTACATATTTTGTTTAAGACAAAACTTTCGCTTAGTAGAAACAATTCTTGTGTTCCAGCTGCCAACTTTAAAACTAAAAATGTGAAAAGGGCTGCAATCAAGGAGTTTAAAACCATATTGGTCCTAATGTCACTTAATCTTAGTCCACAGATAATCAAACCTTACATATTTTGTTTAAGACAAAACTTTCGCTTAGTAGAAACAATTCTCTGCCCCCAAAGAGCTTCCAAGTGTGATAATGAGAAACAGTAATGAGTGAGGAAGAATGTGTTGGTTGTATCGACACGTGACAGATAGAATGCCTAAACTGCTGCAATTCTGGCACCACGGGCATGAAACAAAGTTGTTGTTTTTTCTCTTTTTTTGAAAAATGGCACCAGATTTTACGGAGAGCTGAACAATTCCTTTAAGTTGGTATTCAGTCAGTATCTGTAAGACTTTCTGGCATTTAAAACACCTGATTGAGATTCTGGTAGCCACAGCTATCTCAAATGAAAGAAGTTCACTTCGATGGGGAAATGGGGTGGGGGAAGAAATGCAGAAGCTGCTTTGCAGACAATGTACTCATGAGGCAGTTTAGTCCTCTGGAACATCTGTCAAATGTTTCATAGCAGGGGTAAAAAGTTAATAATAAGTAATCTAGTTAGGTCTTCCTTACTGTTATTTAGGTTATTATTCATTTCAGGTGGCCACTAAGCTCAGCGCTATCGACAACCTTCATGAATAAGGCCTTATTTTCTCATTAGTCTTTATTTCCATCTTCATACATGTGAAAAAAAGAACTTGAGGCCAAATGGTATCTTGGTGCACTGTTTGTCTTTTGTCTTTTTTCGTGTCCGGCAACGGATCGCAACCCTTGGCGTTGCGCCTGCACCTCGCTCAGCCAGTGAGCAGGAACCGGTCTGTATAACCCTCGGCGGGAGCGCCGCCATGCTCCCAAGCGGCGCACTGTAGCAGTGCACCACCGGGCCGGCCCATTGGTGCACTGTTTGAATTATATTTCTTTTCCAACTAAATTATTCCAAAGTAGGATTATTAAAAATGCTCTATAAACCATCTCCAAGAAGAGTTTATTCTAGATGAGGTCTTCACTAGTTATGATGTGCATAAGGGTAACAGATCATCTGTGGGTGTACCTTACAATTTACCTCCAGGGCAGACTTGCTTGATACCTATTCCTGTGCAAAATGTATAATCTTGTGTATGGAGCTGATGAAACAGCTTTCAGAAACTCATATAAAATGCTAAATTCTGTCCTGGTCTGTATATGATTATCCCAGTCAGCTACAGAAAAGCACTGATCAAACCAAGATCACAGTGTCCTCACCACCCAGGGTGCAAGTCCTTGACACACAGCTGTGTCCTGTCACTAGATGACCACCTGGTGACTGTGGAGAGTTCATTTGAAGGGGAATAAAAAGAGTACGCGGAGTTTAGTGTACACCTCACCCCCTCAACTTAAAGGGATAAAGCATCCAGCCTATGTCTGGGAAGCAGGATGGGGCAGCATTTCTAAGACCACTAAGCTCTGTGAGACCAGGGCTCGTGTAGATATTGTTCACTGTTTTATCTCCAGCACCCACCATAATGTAGTAGTACATGGCAGCCACTGAATAAGCATTTGGCAAATGAATGAATCAAAAAGGAGTTTTCTACGATTATGGTTTATCCCAGGATGCTAAATTTAAATATCTTGGGTGAAGATTTGATAAATCTGAGGGCTAGGAAGCAAAACAAGAAATGGCTTTTAACAGTGAATAAAATAAAAAGGGTATAGCTCTGTACATCACGGTTTTTTTCTTTCTTTCTTTCTTTGTTTAAACAGTACTTCATTAAAGTAGTTTGCATTTTCCCACTTTTTGGTTTTTGTTTTTCATATTAAAACCATAGCACCATAGCCTTATCCTATAAAGGACCAGTGAAGGGGGACGGGGGGTGGAGTGGGGGAGAGACTGGTAGAGTTTGTCCTTTCTTGCCCGGTTCCCTTTTCTATCCAGGCGGAGTGCTTCAACATTACAGCATAAACACGGCCGATTTCTGCCTCATCAGATGTGGTGTGTATGGTAATGGCCCGTGTGTGTGTAGAGGGAGGCATTTCCTTTCTTTACCTGGTCCTTTAATTCTGACAGCTGGCCGGAAAGATTAGTGACAAGCTTCATGGTGGACTCCAGCTTCTCCTGCAGGTTCCTCAGCTCATTCTGTTCTCCTTCAGAATCGCTGCTGACCAAGGACATGGCCCTCATTCTGGGGAACCAATCAAGGTTTCTTTCCTAGAAGCCACATAAAGGAAGGAAAAAAAAAAAAAAAAAGGAGTCACATCAGTTCTAGGGCAGAAACAAAGGCAGTGTTTGCCATCATCTTTTCTCCCTGCCTTCTCTCATTAGGTTTTCTCTATCACAGAACATGCTATGTATTTTTAACTGTTCACTATCTTTTTGATTGAATAAAATGGATTTTTTTTTTTTTAAAGGCTAGTCAAGTGAAGCAGTGGGAGTGGAGAAAGAACACAGTAACTGGCTGTAACACTGTAACTGGCTGTTGTGATCAAATAGTTGTAAACACCACTGCACCCGGACCCACCTACTGGAACTCTTAATTTTGAGAAGAGGAAGTCACTTTAAATATGGGGGCAAAGTAGGCTTCAAACAAGAGTCCTAATCTGCAAATTTGAATACTTCCACTGTGGCTCTGATCTTGCAAATTACATGGCTGCTAAGTTTTGTTTTTAAATTGTGGTAAAATATGCATAAGATAAAATATATATTAACCATTTTTTAAGTGTACAGTTAAGTGGCATTAAGTATATTCATGCTGTTCAGCAACTATCAACACTGTTCATCTCCAGAACGTTTTTTATGTTCCCAAACTGAAATCCCATCCCATTAAACACTCACTCTCCAGACCCTGGCAACCACCATTCTATTTTCTGTCTCTATGAATTTGACTCCTCTAGGTATCTCATATTGTTCTGTGTATTTTAAAAAGCATCATACTGGGAAAACCATTTGCAAATACTCTGGAAGTGAAATGAATTTTAAGATCTTGAGTGTTCTGGAATTTAATGAATATATATGTAGGCGTTTGCTTGGGTAAGGGGATTGTTAAGAGGCTAAAAATGGGGAATGGGCGCCTCAATCAATTTCCCTGCTCGTGAGCATATGGAAACCACTCCTCCATTCATTTCCTTTTCCTTCCAGCCTGAATGGTTGATGGGTGCTGCCAACCGGTTTAAGAAAGGCCCATTCAGTTTCTCTCCCAATTCATCTTCAGCCTTTTGATGTCTATGGCTTGTACCTGTAAACAGTATTTCTCACTACTGGTTAATAATAGAATGGGACCTTCCTTCTGCCCCCGCCCCCATATCGTTTCTCCTAAAGAGCATGCCTCATACATAAGTTCTGTACAGAGACACAGAATGAACAGTAAGTAAGCTTAATCAGCACAAGACAAGAAGAAAACTGACTCATTCCAGATCTGTGTGTCTGGTGTCATTCTCACCTGGACCTTGATGATCATGTCAGGATAAATTTAATAGACTTTCCAAAACAAATCATCATCCCAACACACATACACAAATAATGTGTTATTGTTGCTTTGTGAACAAGGGATAGCAACATTTTTCTGTACAGTAAATATTTTTGCATGCTGGCCAGCTGCCACCAAAAAAAAAAAATTTTTTTTGGCTTGGTGGACCTTATGATCTCTATCACAACTACTCAGCTGTTCTATTGTAGCCCCCAAACAGCCACAGACAGTATATAAATGAATGGGTGTGGCTGTGTTCTAATAAAACTTTATTTACAAAAGCTGGCAGCAGTCTGGGTTTCAGTTTGAAAACCTCTTGTATACGACAGAAGGCATCAACATATTTAAAATAAAAAAATTCCACGAGACATGTCTCATTATTACAAATCAAGTGAAATCATTAAACCTTGTCTTGACCTAAGGCAATTGAGCAATTTAGAAGCCATGTAAGAACTAGCTGAAAAACATTACGAAGAAGCCATACCACATTGGCAACATGGCATCACATCCACTCTCGAGTGTTTGCTTAAGACATCGGGGGAATTTAGTAGGTAGGAGCTCACTAAGCCCATCAGCATTGTCACAGCAGGGACAGCCTTATTATAGTGACTAGAACATAATAGGCACTCAACAAAGTTTTGTAGAAGGATGGATTGACATTCAACTCTGTTTCCTGCATGGGTCCTGATACCAAATGCTTAAATAGCAAACCTGAGCTGCTTACAATGACTGCTGGAGGAGGAAATGATAATCTCTACCTTCCTATACCCTGAGATAAACACTTCATTAACATGTGACTTAATGCTAGCCTCTATTCATCAATTTCCCACCACAATGAGAAAAATGGGCAAAAGAGCAATGGGCTTTTTAAAAGATCATTTGACAAAATAGCCCATTTCAAAGATGACTATCTTCAACATTGGAAGCATTTATCAGTTTCCTGCTGTGCAGCTGCCCTGACCTGTCACTGATTATATTCACCACTCCTGCGTCAAGCTTTCAGACATAGCCACATTGTCCCACAAAGGAAATATCCCATGTTCAAGGTCTGCACAACTTAGGAATGAACCTAATTTTTCAGAAGAAGGCATGCATGGGAACAGGTGGCTGGTTATGACTCACTCCCCTAGTGCAATCAGCCTCTGTGAAGGGAAGAGGGAGGAGAGATGCTGTGGGCTGGGGCTGATGAGGCCCCGAACCCAAAGCACAGCTGCAGAGAGACAGCGCAGCAGAAGGCCGACCAGCCATCGGAGGCGCCTGAGATCCACAGTGACTGCTACAAAGTTTTGCAGACTGACCCCAAAGGAGCACAACTGTCCAACACTGAGAAGCATATAAACACACGTCAATTGGGATGTGACAGACTGTACTGCTAGGAGGGAGTTTGGAGATCACTAATCCACCACGGTATAGCTGATGTAGGAAACTGAGGCCCTGAAAGGGAAAGTAACCTGGGGGCAGGGAGCAAAGGGGGAACTAATTCCTATTTCTCAAAGGCTATCCTCAGAATTGTCTAGTACTTACAAGCTGTAAACTGCTGTAATTGAGTATATTGGGGGAGGGGAATATTTGATAGTTATTTGGATTCAAATAAACAGTATAAGCACTATTAGCTCTCTTAGAGCAAAGTATTTTCAAAAATATGTATAACAAATTCAGCAAATACTTCGGGAGCACTTTTATACGCTTGGTGCTGAGGACACAGCCATGGGCAACACAGACATGGTCACTGCATCCTGGGCCTCTGTAAAATGGAAATGGCTGAGACACCTGGGTATGAAACAGGCTTCCTGCCATCAAAGTGCTTGCAATTTAGTTACAGAGAGTAGGCATCTAGACTAAAAGACAAATGGAATACAGCAGGCCATGCTGTGTCAAGTGAGGAGTAGAGAGAGTAGCATCAAAGAACCGGCCATCCGCAGCTGGCACTGGCTAGAATCCTCTTGGTGAGAGGCCTGGGCCTGGTGCAAGCAGACAGGGCACTGGTACCACGAGGCACCAGCGTGGCTGGAGCTGGGGACAAGCACAGACAGGTGGGAGCAGCTCAGACTGTGCCAGACCAAAGACTGATACGTGGGATGGACAGGCGTAGGATGGGATGGAGAAAGCAGGAGTACACGGAGGGCCCCTGATGATGAGGGAAAGAGAAGGAAGCCTGGAAGAGACCTGTAAAAGGTCACCCACCTGAGCAGCCATGTGGAGAGAGGGGCCTGCACACTGCAGTTGCAAGTGGCTAGAACTCACCTGTAGCTAACTTATTACTGACATGCAAATTAATGCTAAACTGCCTGAAATGTTAGCGAATTCATCTAAAATCTGGCTCTCCAATCTTTCATATGTTCATTTGCTTAGCAAACCCTCTATAAAAATAGAAAACACAGATTTCCAAACAGAGTCCATAATAATGAAGTCTTCAAAAGACTCCAGAAAATCAATGCAAGAGTCTGCATATAGCTTAAAGTTAAGGAACAGTCTCTCTTCCTTATTCTAACAAGTGACCAAACGACTACAGATTAAAATGAGAATTTCTCCGTGGCAGATTTCCACCTTCTTTCATGGCATATGTGATTCCTACCCCCACACCCCCACACCAAGCAATTACTTCAAAAAGGTCTTTGAACAAATAAATGCAAAATGCACAGACTTCCTTCATTCAACAGCCCCCGGCTAAACTTCTTTAGCTTCTGTGTCCAGCACAAGGCTAAGAGCTGAGGGTCTAAAGATGAGGACAAGGTCCCAGCCCTCAAGATGCTTCAGTGTAAGGACTGCAGTCACAGGCTGGGTCTCAGAGTGTGGTTCTTTGCCTCCGTGGAGCTGCAGAGTAGCCCTGGTGCCCACTGAGTGTGGGCTGAGGGCATAAATGGGTCCCCCATTAGCAGGGCTGCTGCGGGCATCTGTCCTCCTTGCCTCAGTGGGAAGGACAGGCACTTACAGTTGGGGGGGGGTTTGTTTTGGGGTTTATTTGTGCTTCTATACATGGGATATCTGTAATCCTGGTACATAAAGACCCTCCCAAGCCATAGGCAGAAATAATGTATCTTTTTAGAATGTTCATTTTAGTCAATGGTAAACAATTGAGAATATTTTTATATTAAACTCAAAAAATGCCCCCGGAGCAGAACATAAAATTCAGTTTAAAAATAAAACCCAACACTTCAAAAAAAGGTCATACTTGCCACAGGCCGCTTTGGGCCCTGTGCTCTGATCCTAGGCATAAACCTTCATTTTACAGGAAGCCTTCAATGCAAAGATAGAAGAATTTCCTGGTCTAGATATTTACCGATCACCACCATATAGGTTCACCTCTACTGCCTCTCTTAATATCTAATAATGAAAAGCTGGGGTAGGAGGGACCCCACTAAAATCCTAAAGCACATGACAGCAGCTCCACCACAGGGAGTTCAGGCACCCTGGGTGGCATGCAGCGTTATCTCTTCTGCACTGAAGTGGGCGGAGCCCCACATTTGAGATGCTAGGTGTTGCCAGTATTTTAATTAAATCATCATCTCGGGCTGTTAAGTCAAATCTCAAATTACCATGGAGTACCTAGTAGTTAAAATTAATTAGCAATTCTAGCCAAACTGTTCTCTGTTCTCTCAATTTCCAGTTGGTTTAACATGCTGTGCAGTAAGCTAAGCTCCGATGTGCTGTAAGGTTCCTCACCACCAGGACGCTCCTGTGTGCAGAGATTCTACATCCTAAAATGAAAATGTTTAGACTATCCCAATTATTAGTATAGGAGCAG